GTGGTTACTGTACGTTTACATAAATGCCAGTTAAATGTTACCGTCATCTTTAGCGGGGATTAACGGGGTCTCCTGCGTTGTTTTTAAACACCACGAAGAGGGTGCTGGTAGTCACTGCCTGCCTTCAGTGTAAGGGATTGAGGGCTGAGTGCCCGTGAGGATGCTTCTTGCATTCAGAAAACTGGCCTAGAAACGTCCCCAGTTGGGCAATTTCTCCAGCTCGGCGGAGGAATGCCTTTGGGGCCAGCAGGGCTCAGAATGGCTCCAGCCCAGTAAGGCTCTCAATCATTGTTCCTTAATTGGGGCCACCGTTAACGAGGGGGTAAATGAGTCAGCGTGGTGAGCGGAGCGGGAGCCCACGGCCTTTGTGTCCGTGGTGAATGGTTGTAGGCATTGAGGGCTCCAGAGTTATTCAGGAAAAGCTCCCCCGGACTCGTGTGTCATTCACCTGACTAATGCCAAGAAAATTAAGCACTTTTTTGCAACTCTGGGCTTATTGGGGAATAATGTGGTATGTGATAGCACGAATGAGGTTACGAAATCATGTTTTCCTTTTGAAGGAACGAGAATGGCTTGAGCATAAATTATGTTTCTGATCATATTTGGCAATTTCAGATTAAAAATAAATTTCCACTTTGGGGTTATAGATTGCCATCTATCAGCTTCCTGAAAAGGAAAAAAAGGAATTAAAAGAAAAAATCTGTCTGTACAAATTGCCTTGCTATGACCTACTTATTGAAAGTAATTTTTTTCTTTCCCCAGGAACGAAATCTTTCAGTGTGGGGAGGCGAAGTATTCTATGTGTATAGGTTTGCAGGCAGGTATATAGGCACGGGTTGTATGGGGGGATCTATCAACTGTCCCTGCAAGCAGCTACATGCAAAATAGATGCTAGAATTGTGCTCGATATTTCTGAGAAAGCCAAAAAAATGCAGCAATCGTGTTGTTTTACTTGATAGAGGAGCCTTAACTGCAATTTTGCATCTGGTTATCAGCCTTCGGGACCACTCGAATCTGCAGATTAGATGCTTAGGCTTGGTTTTGCTCAAAAAGCCTGAGATTGGGGCAGCATTTGCTGGAAGGCTCCCGGGCCTTGCAGAAGGAGCCGAGATCCCTTGCAGCTGACTGCGGGAAACGCTGGCCTGGGCCAAACACAGCGGTTCTTCCCTGGGGGGGCTTTTTTTGGGACCAATTTGCTTAAAATGAAAGCCCCCCCCCCCCACGTAAGGACCCGCGTGAGCCAAGGACAGAAAGATGTTTACGGGAGTCGCTGTGAACTGGCACTGCCGCCTTTCACCCTGTCCAATCTCTTTCTAGAAAATTGAGTAAATATCTGCTGAAAACAGTTTTGCCTGGTTGAGAAACCACCGGGCTTGCAGTCGCTGCCCTCCGCTCTGCCTGCAAGACTCCCCCTCCCCAGCTATCGTCGCTCCGATAGAGATGCTCCTCTGCCAAGCAAACCCACGGGCTCTTGCTCCTTCTAACCCCTTCCCTGTCCGTGGTTGCGGCATCCTCCCTGCCAGTTGCCAACACCTCAGGGAAAATCCTTCCCCTGCCTCCGTCCCTGCCGCTGCTCCTCTTCCCACCGCGGTCCCGAGCCATGCCAGCCCTCCCTTCCCTGCCCGCGCTGCTTGTGCAAAAGCACAAACCACCCTGTTTGTGGTCTCTGCCAGGAGAGGGGGGCCTTTAGCCTTGCTGGAAAGCAGGAGGTTGAGGAGATAGATACAGAGATAAATGTATACCTGGAGTGTGCCTGTGCTTTGCTCGTTCTGTTTGTCTCCTGCCTGTTGCTTGCAACGGAAGAAAAAAAGACTTTTATCTAAGTAGGAAGAAAGGGAAGAAGCTGAAAGCAGGAGGCTGCGTTTCGTGCTCGGATAGGTGCTGCTTTGCAAGCGGCTTAGCCCGTGTACGGCAGACTCTTCTTCTGCTGTGGTCAAAAAACCAACGAAGGAAAAAAGACTCTCTCATCCCCAGAGGAGGCTACAAAGCTCTCTTTCTCTTGCTGCTGAACCTTCACAGCTGGACTCAGTTGCTGGCTCCTCTGCTGCTGGAGCAACTGAATTATTTAAAGGAATCTTGATTTCGTTTTCTCTTTGCTGTTTTCATGCGTTGTGTTTATTGTCTATAGATATTTTTATAGTCTGAAGCAATTACGGCTGTCAGAAAAGAGACGAGCTGTGACAGGCTGATTTATATGTACGTTGTATGTATGCAAGAGAGGGAGAGCCGGAGACGGGGAGATAGACCAGGGATTCTGCTGGGCTTTAAATCCAATATCGCCAGCTCCTGCATACTAAATTCCTTGGGATTTTCAAACAACGCTGATGACCTCCTAACAGTGGGCCAAATTCAGCCCTTGGAAGGGCTGAAGCTGCTCAGCAGGTCACGTTCTGCCCCAACCTCGTATGCTTTCAGCTTAGGCAGGTGCTTTCTCTCGTGATTTAAGATGTTTCTGGCAATCTGGGCTGTGTTAAAAGGTTAACTGGCTGTGGTTATTAGAATCCCTTTGGTTTTGCTGATTCAGGAGATGGTCTCTGCCCACCCAAAGGAGCAGCCTCACAAAGAGAGCGAGCTCTTGCGTGATGAGCGTGGCGATGGCTTGTAGGTCCTGCACGCGAGGGTGTTGCCCAGCAGCGAATAGGTAGCACGGCGGGGTCCCCATCCTGCCCGGGGGTGCTTGGGTGCTGCCAGCAATCGGCAAAAGCAGCATCTTTTTATTTTTCCCCGCTGACTTGTGCACCCCAGTGCAATGCCACAAACCCTGTACAAGGAGTTTCACCCTGCTGACGGTCTCGCTTTTTGCAGTTAGGTTTCAGAGACCCCTCCCATGTAATCTGTGGGCCCAAAGGGGGGCTGCTAAAGGCAGGAGTTTACCCCTCCCTTGCCAGACTGGCCAGGAGCAGAGCGAGCTGTGGAGATTAAACTCCTCCTTGCCAAGAGCTGGGGAAAGCTGCTGTCTCCTCTGGGGAAAAGTAGGACTTGAGGCAGCACGTCACACCAGCGCTAAATTCAAGGAGCAGAGCCTTCAGAAGGGGAAGAAGTGGAGTGACTTGCAAAGCAATCCCCTTCTCATATGACCTATCAGCACGCACAATAATAATAAAGCTTTATTTGATTGAGCGTTTCCTCTACCCGGCACAGCTCATAATGTTTTAGAGATTAAATAGCACAGTTAGTGAATTAAGCAGTAGTTTACAGGGGATTCGGAGACTCCAGGGATTAGTAACAAGCTATGGATCCTTTCACATCTAGGTCACCAGTTTGAATCCAGCTCAGGTTGGCAGCAATTTCAGGGGAGAGAAAAAAAAAAAATGGTGCCATGTAATAGCTGCACAGTACGCGGTGAGGGAGGGAGGACTTTTGGATAAGGTCCCGTGTCACGGAAAAATCATCGGGGACAGCGGGCGGAGGAGGCCTGGCTTCCCCTAACGCCAGGCTGCTGCAGCTCTGGGGGGGGCTTCCAGGGGCGCAGCGCCCCGAAAGCTGTGGCTTGGCTGCTGGCTCCGCACTTGCTCAGTGGCTCCAGGACTTTGCGCTCCGAGGATGGCTCCCCGGCACCTTTTACCAGCATGAAACTGTGCCTGGAAATATTAATGTGTTTAGCCGCTAGCGGAGGGAAGGAGGAATTACTAGGCATAAGCAAACGCGGTATTTGTTAAATTACGAGCTGATAAAAAGTACGCGGGGATCGTGCTCACGGCTGGGGAGGAATTTGCCACTTAAGCTTATGCTGTGTGTCTCTGAGGTGCAGAGGACCAGGAGGGCACGCTCCTGCCTCTCCTCGTCACCACCTGCCTGACTTTTGGGGGCTAGGGGGGCGCGAGGGAATTGTCCTGTGCCTCAGTTTCCCCTCCTGCACAGTGGCTTTGCCGCCTGGCGTGGGGATGGTGCGGAGGTAGAGGAGGGCAAACGTTAGAGGTAGTCCGGTGCCGGCTGCTGGGCTCAGGTAAGCACGCCGGGGAAGCGAGGGGAAAGGGTGGGGGTCCTGACATCCCGCCCCCCCCCCCCAAGG